ATCGTCTATCATTGGAATCATTTTAATTAATTCTTTAGATGAATTCCAAATACTGGAATATTCTTATAATTATTATTTGACCCATGAAAATAAAAAGTATCAATAATATATGAAGGCAATATATTTTTAATATTTTTTCTGATTCAAATATTTCGATTTTTAAATTTTCATCAATAAAAAGAATTTAAAATTATAAAATTACATTATAATTAATATTCCATTGGAGGTGGTTTATATATATTTTTATTTTTCTAGGCAGAATTTGTTTAAAAATATTCTTTTAACAACTGTACGATAAATTATTAGAAAAATAAAAAAATCATTAAATTTTTTTAGTAACTACAAGTTTAATAAAAATTCATACTGGCCACTTTATTAATAAAAAAATATTCAAATTTTTTTTCCCCAAAATATCAGGCTACAAATTGTCCTCTTCTCTTTGGCAATAAATAAATTATAAAAATCTATTATTTGAATAGTATAATCTATACTTACTTTTAATATAATAATGATATAAATTTTTTGAAATTTTTAAGGAACGTTAACTCATGCAAATAAATAATTTTTTGTAAATGATATTTTTATAAATATAATAAATAAATATTCCAAAGTTAATCTTATTATGTACTAGAGTGCATATTTAATATTTTAGTTTTAATAAAAATTCAGCATATAAAAAAAAAAGTGAGACACTAAAAAAAATTTTATGCGAAAAAAAATTAAAAAAGAGACATAACCACGAGATCCAGTCTAGTTGTATTAATCTATTATATAATAGAAGATATAAAAATCTTTCCTTTTTCACTATTAAGATATGTGAAGTTATACTCACTTATAATTTTTGTTTTAAATATTACTAAAATCAGATATCTAAGCGACCGACAATAGCGATGTATATTGTTGATGGAGATTGTCGATGACGATAAATTGATATAAAGTTCTTTAGCTCTTAGGGGGCTTGAATCACTTCTTTATATAGAGAATACGATATTATATACTGCATCCATCATTTGGAAAAAAACTATTCTGTCGAATCAGAGCACGGCATATCACTCTTTTGTTGTGTGCTATGTACCGAGGTAACGTGGCGCGCTCTGATTAGCCTCCGAACTGTTTGGTGTCCGCACAGAATGATCTCTCCATCATTTGAGGTTTTCACTGCTTCTTAAAATAGTTCTTTAATAAAAAATTAAATTTTTATACTAAAAAATTATATTAAAAAGCAGTTAGAAAGCCATTCTAAATAAAATCTCAGTCAACTATACAATGTGGGTTGCAGTCAAAATTTTCTTCAACCATTACATTTACAAAAGACATTCAAATCATGTATTGACTTTTTCATCTTTGTGCGCTATTTGTCCTATCCTCTGCTTCGAATGACATTGATCCCATATCCAGCTTCACATCTGTCAGTCTCATCATCATCTCAACTTGCAAAAATATCCCCATAATGAACTCTGGCGAGATCTCTAGTCCATCAAGACAAGTAGGATTTCATCTTTAATATTGTAACAGCCTGAATTTGAGCAAATGGTTCAAAATAAAAATCTGGAAATTCTAAGAATTTGGATTGGAGCTCTGTGATGCTGTGCTTGTGAGCGCAACGGCGTTGGTTTTGAAAGAGCAGCGGCGGCATACAATACTGCAGGAGCAGCGATGCTCTTGGGATTTTTGGAAAATAATTCAGCGTAGCAGTGCTGAGGTGTTGCAACAATGCAGTGTTGTTTTGCATGTAGCGCTTTGTCGTTGGGTTAGATGGGCGCCGCAGCGCCAAGTACTAAAAAAGAGTTTTTATATATAATTTTTCTCTCCATTGAGTCATTTTTACTCTCTCTTGTTTCTTGCTCGGGAAGGACAAGAAGAAGGGGGAAAGGGAAGGAGGAGAGAGGAGACAAAAATCAGGCTTTTGGCCTCCATTTTGATTTGCTTTTATGAAATATTCTTAGATTGTAGGTGATTTCTAGCATACTCCTACTTTCAGATATTTTGATTTCTGAATGTATATTTTTTATGATTTTGATATTTTTTATGATAGGAAGTTTTTATCGTATAAATTTTTTATGATAGGAGTTTTTATCGTATAAATTTTTGTATGTTGTTGAATTGTTCAAATCAAAATATATTTTATCTATAGTTATAATGGCCTTCACATGCAAAATGTATCATATATAAGTCAATATTTTTATATCTATATTCATACACTTGCATTGACCTTATCAGTCGTATTAGCCTCTCTCTCTCTCTCTCTCTATATCTCATCATGTATGTTGTATGCGACCTTTTAATACATCATATATTATTATACGAATTATGCACATGTCATATCAAAACTACGCAAGGCAAGACATCCCGCAATCACGTAGTGTTTTTCCATTATGTCACATCAATCACTTTTTAAATATGTGATTTTCATTTAATAGTCGTCACTCTCTACTCGTCTACATAATTAATCAATCAATCTCAGGCTCAATTCATAATTACACCACAAGTCTTTAATTTAAAAGCAAGCTCGTCAGCCCACCCTTATGTACACAAAATTTAGTCTATAGTCAACTCTAATAATTCATATCATTTATAGCCAATCTTTCTTGCTTACATAGTCAAATTACAGTATTTATATCATATCATTACTGAGTATCACATAATATGTGCATATGCAACCCAAATGACTTATCATATAGTATGTTCATTAGTGTACATGCATGCATTATGTTAGAATGCATATTAGGCAAGATGAATAGTAAATTTATGCATATCTTGTATCTAGTATGATATTAGTAATATCCAAGTGTAGTATACTGACTCCTAATCATTTGGCATTTGATATTGCTCTATTCATTTTAAACAAAATGACATATATGTAAAATCAACTCATAAAATCTCAGTAAAAATCTTTAAAATATTTAGGGTAATGAAGTCTATCACATATCAAAAGTTTCACGATGAATTTATGACCAACTAACAAAAGATTCCAACTAATTAAGGCTTCGTTTGGGACAGCTTTTGTAATGCTTCTTAAAGCAGCTTTTGTAATGCTTTATTGCAAAAGATTACCTCAATAAGTCTAAATCAGTTCACTCCCGCACTTATCAACTTAATTTTGCTAGATCTTTCTGATTGACATCTGAATTGCATCTGATGATTGCACATAATAATTTCTACATTTTATTAATAAAAATTTATAAATTACATTGTAGTATTTGATCACAAAAATAGGCGAGAGCATCGAATTTCGTGGTTTTATTGTCCCATACTGCCATACATATATCAATTTTGTTTGAGGGGTGTTGGATTATTCTTTGTTATTCAAATATTTAGAATGTCAACAACAACAATAATTTTAATTTTATTTTAAATAATTCTATAATAATTTTTTAATAATAAAATGTTAAAGTCAAATAAAAAATGTCAATAAAATATTTTTAAAAAATTATCTCAAACGTACGATATAAGATGTTCATAACCGTGAAGTTGATCATAATTTGAATGCGATGGCATTTTTTAATCATTTTAATTAATTTTTGATGAATTCAAAATGTTTTATAATACCGAAATATTCATTTATAAATTATTAATTGGAATAAAAATTAAAAAATCAATAATATATGAAGACAAAATATTTTTAATATTTATTTCTGATTAAAATATTTCTATTTTTAAATTTTCATCAATAAAAATAATGATAAAATTGCAAAAATACACTTTAATAAAGATTTTATTTGAGAAGGTTTAAATTTTTTATTTTTATGGGCAAAATTTATTTAAAAATATTCTTTTAACAACTGTAAGATAAATTATTAGAAAAAAAATTTAAAACTTTTTATCCAATTTTTTTCTCAGTTAACTTCAAATTTAATAAAAATACCTACTGGCCGTTTTATTAATAAAAATATTCAATTTATTTATTTTTCCAAAATATCAGGCCACAAAATTGTCCTCTTCTATCGGGCAAATAAATAAATTATATAAATCTATAGGATTCAAATAGTATAATCTTTACTAACTTCTAATAAAATAATAATACAAACTTCTTGAAATAATCAAGAAAAGTTAACACATGCTAATAAATAATTTTTATAAATGATAATATTGTAAATATGAAAAATTAAAATTCCAAAATTTTAAATCTTATTAAATACCAAAAAATTTACAATCATAGATTGTATTTTTAATATCTTAATTTCGGATAAATCGTAAAATCACAAGATCTGGCTCAGTTGCAATAATCCAATATGTAATAAAAGATACAAAAATCTTCTCTTTCTCACAATTGAAGTATGTAAAATTATACATAATTAAGAACAATTATCTAATTCCTAATTTCTATATTACAAAAATCAGATGTCCACAAGCAAACAATTAAAACCTAACGATAAAATTATATGTTAATAATTAAACGGTAATATCATAAAAAAAAGTTAAAAGATAATATTCATTAAAGTTCATCAGATAAGATCATTTGTAGTGTCGATGTGTTCGTACCGTTCAAAAGTTCGGTTCTGGCATGCGTTTGATGGAATCAGAATATGATTGGTCCTAAAATTAATTTTGAAAATTTTCGATTCAAATATTATTTCGAGATTCGTACCAATCAAGCTAACAAATTTTCACTATAAAAACCAATTTACTTATCCTTAAGCCTCAAAACATATTCTTATGATAGTTTATAATAATAAAAACAAAGAAAAATTCTCCTGATTTTGGATAGAATTAAAAACTATAACAAAACAATGAAAGTACATAATTTTTGACAAAACCAAACGGAAAGTTATTTCAGTCTCTTCCATCAAGTTGTATTTACCGTAAGGGCACTGCTCAGATGAAAAATTCCATTCAAAAATAATATAAAGTAATAAATAAAAAATTATGTAACGGTAACTATTTAAATACCTGTG